CCTTGAAGCTATGACCTTGCAGGTCTGTAAAGCAAAGGAAAACTGAAAAAAAATCATAAGCAGTTCTAGCAAGTGAGTGCTTTGCTTAACAACCAAGTTACTAATTGTAGTTGTGCCAATTGTGCTTGCTAAACAAGGACTACATGTACATATTCCAGGAAGGCACATAAGTATTAATATTCATTGCTGTCAACTTGTCTGCACTTTGAAATCAAAATTGGTGGTCCTCCAATAACAATATAAGGCAACTTCTCCAATGGCTCCACGCCTCCAGAATCTGTTGCTATCTGGGATCTGCCAGGCTTAAAACAAACAAACTTTAGGGGAAGCCCTGAAGATATATTTATTCCATCTAGCCATTTCTTCTTTTCAGTTTCACTGGGTATGGGAGAGGATAGGCTGCCTACAAAATAGCCAACACCTGTGCTGCAATTGTCCTGTCCCTTTAAGTCCTCCCCCAGCCAGTACAGCAATTGTTGGCTATAAAAGCTGATCAGGGAGGCAGCTGGGTGTGGTGGTGGTGTTGATGTGTGGGAGAGAGGGAAGGTGGTGTGTGTGTGTTCCTAAAGCAGCCTAAAGTAGATATACTATTTTCCAGCAATAGGACTCATAAGTAGTAAGTTGGGGGGCCAGTAGGAATAGTAGTAGTAGAAGTGGGAAAGAGTAGTAATAGCCACTAAGTGCTTTTGTGCGTTTTGCCCGGGGACCTGTTGTGCTGGTAGTGTTTTGGAGTCCAGTAAAAGAATTCATGACAAAGTGGTGACAAAAGGTTGGAATAGCCAATAAATGTAGAATATTCAAAAAGAGGGCAACTAACACAAGGGGGAAAACCATACAAGGTGGCTTAAACTCAGTGAAAAGAAAACCAACTTTGGCTAAAAAAAAAAAGTTGCTGCAAAAGGAGTTTGGGCCTTGCAGAGTTCAGATTTTTCAGGAATTAGCCAGCATCCTGCCTGCTGAAACTAACTTCTTTATCAGAGCTTACACCAAGCATGGAAAAGGCAGAAGGGACAGATTCCTCCTTTGAGGAGGCTACTACAGCGTGCCTGGCTGAGGAATTCTGGGAGTTGAAGGCCATGAGTCATAAAAGGGCCGAATTTGAAGACCCCTGATCTATAGTAAAGCCAAAGCAAAAGGTGGACCAGCCTGAAATGGGGCTAGGCATGGATACTTGGGCCAATATCATTGCAGAGCTGATAAGATGGAGCAAAAGGAAAGGCTGAAATTCATTAAAGAGGAAAAGGAGCAAATTTGGAGGGAGAAAGTAAAGATAGGCTGGAATCAAAGGAGTGAAAGAGAGGCAAGAAGAGTTTAAGGGGCCCGATAGACCTACTTAAAGGGATACAGTCACCAGAAGGGGCAGATTCAATTGTAAATTAGTTTTCAGAATGTGTAGAGTGGAGGTTGTCCCAAAGACATTAAAATTCCCAAGGTGTCAGAGGAGAAGAAATAGAAGCCTATTTTACCAGTTCAAAAGAGAAGCTACCTCTTGTAAGTGGCCTGAGAGTGGATGGGTGGTGTGACCAGCCCCATGTTTAATAGGAAAGGCTTTGAGAGCTTATAGAAGACTTCCAGCAAGAGAAGTAGTGGATTACTCTCATATGAAAGACATAATCCTATACAGATAGGCTGTCACTCTTTACACCTATGATAAACATGAAGGGATGTTTGAATTGTGAACAATGTTGGAAGACTAGGCAAAAAAATGGTTGAAGCCAGATGGAAAAAAGCAAAGGAAAAGTGATAGGGAAAATCATTTCAGAACAGTTTCTACCGGTACCCCCTACCAAACTGAGGTTTTGGGTACAAAAACACAGCTCAGATTGGCTAAGGACTACATGGCAGCAAAAAAGTTAGGATATTAGAAGAGAAGATTCAGAAAGAGAGAGAATAAGAAAGCCTGTTCCAGAAAGTAAAAACCTTAAGGAGCCGGAAGAGAGAAAGGTGAAAGAAATAGAGAATCCTTTAGCTTTTACCCAAACTAAAGGGAAGGCCTTGGGAGGACAAAAGACCATAGACGACCTGTGGGAAAAGTGGCCATTTTGTCCAAAGATTGTTTAAAAGTGAAGGGGGAAAAAGAATGGCTGCAGTATCGTGTCTCTGAGAAAAAAAATTATAATGCCAGCAAACCTAAACAAGGCAACAAATATGGAGAAAGAGCCTCTTAGAGTCTGTGTTTGGGCAGACTGAAATGTCTCATTTGTCCAAGTAAAGGCAAGAGGGAATGGAACAGGTAATGGTGATAGGAGTTATCCCCAACTTGCCATGTAACCTAGTAATTGGAACAGGCTTTCCATTTACTGAAGTGGGACTCGGAGAAAAGATTCAAGAGGCTAAGATAGTGGGAGTAACTACAAAGGCCCTGTCTAAGGTAAAGTTGAGAATGGAGCAGAAGCAGGAAGGGAAGGAACCTGGGATTATTGTAGCCATCTTGATTTTAATACAAATGAAATGTCCTAGAATGGAGAAGTGGGAGAGTGGAATAGTGAGGGATGAGTAGTAGCCTCTGAGTGCTTGTGTGTGTATGTGTTGCCCAGGGACTTGTGTGGTTGTTTTGGAGCCCATTGACTTGGGTATATGTAAAACAATGCATAACTGTTTTTACTTTAATGCTCCCTGGATGTTTTAATTGCCAGGGTTTGAAGAATTTCCTACACTTCTGTGGTGCTGGCTTCAATTTTTTTTATAGCATTGTAGGTAGCTTTGGAAGGCTGAAAGCATACTTCTATATTTATTAAATTTATATGCCACCCATTTCACTATCAAATGACTAAATATTATAAACATGCTGAAGCATGATCATTAGTGGCTCATTTTCAGAATAAAACAGAAGGGTAAACAAATTAACATGACAAAAAGATTCTACACTGTTGGACCAAGTAACATTCTTAGACCAATGGGGGAAATATTTAATCAAAGAACAAAGTAAACTTACAGTCAATTTGCAGAAAAAAATCAATGGAACCAATCATATGAACAGTATCACATTAGGTGCAGATGATACGTTGTAGGTGAAAAAGGCAATGCATTTGAATGATGTCCTGATAGCTGTAGTCCATGCAAGTTGAAAATTCCTCCATGACTTATTTCTTGAGTAGGCACAAATTGGCACTATTGAGAAGTTTATTTTACATTGTTTCTCTTCCCAAGTCTTTTAAAAATGGTTATTTACAAAAGAAGGATATCAAAAAAATGTGGGTAGTAGACCATTTCTGGGTCACAAAACTCCCTCTGTTGACTTGTAAAAGCAAGACCAGTCTTCTCTAATGGTGCCTTCAAGGAGATGACCACCCTCTTTATCATCTCCCAAGGCTATGCTACAAAGAATTAGGACAACTAAAGTCCAAGTTATCAGGAGGCAAGAGATGAGGGAAGGCTGAGTGATTGGTTGGAAGTATTTTGTACCATGGTATAGCTCCTTAAAAGTGAGAAAATCCCCACCTCCTATTAACAGTTGTAGGGTTCATATTACTAACTCTGCAAAAAGCACCAGCTTCACTGCCAATATTGGTAATTATTCTAAAACAATAGAACAGAACAAACAAGATATTACTAAAATATTTCAATGACTTTTCAAATCTATGGTAAGGTAGAAAACCAGTAACTGCCACTTCTTAGAAATGAAATCAACCGGGTTCCCTGAAATTATGCACAACAAAACTATCAGTGATGTTTTGCTGTGGAAAGACCAAAACCCAGCAATGTATATCTTCTCTCAGATTTATGTTAGTTTTGGAAAGCTTCACAAGATCTTTATTCACCTTTAAAAATATTTTACTTTTCGTAATACTTGAATCTTGAAATTGAAGTATATGGTTTCAATCTCAAGCTTTATAGTCTACTACATCATTTCAACTCCCAATGTCACACAAAGGAAGCCTGTACAAACCATCCCTTGTTTTGGATTTTATTCCAGTTTTGATTTTCCTTATACAATTGTGTGCATAGTTACTCATTACTAAATTTGATTAGTTAATCCCACAATATTATGTATATAGATTAAGTTATCTACCATTCCTAATATTTTTCTCTCTAAGAAGTTAGGAGTTCCTGATATTTCTAGATCTCTTAAGAGATAGGTGCAGGGAAGTCTCCTCCTAGTGCACTAATCTCCAAAACCCAGTTTGAGAGAACTGATTCTATGAAAAAGGTGGGATATAATACCTGCTGTACAGATGTTTTGGATGATATGGTAATACAAATTGACATTGAGCTTATTACAATGGAGAGGTATTAACAGTAGGCTAAAAGTTTCTAATGGTACATGGCCACATCAAATCTCTGAGAAGAGCCCGAGTGATTATAACTGAGGATCAACAAGTAGCCAGTTAAACATCTTTATGCCAGTTGCTGCCCACAAATATTAGTATGCTTCTATGATCATCTTTATTTGGATAAAGGGGGTTGCTTTTCAATTTTAATACTGGAATTGAAGTAAGAAAGAGATGAAAGTGAGATGCCATGCTTTCAAACTTTTCTGATAGAAGGCAGCTGAGGATTTGGGCTTATATTCCTCAATCATCAGGATGTGGCTTCCTTGATTTGTGGAAAATTCATAACATATTTATAGGGAAACACATACATTTTAAAAGAACATTTAATTTCCATTTGTTTAAATTAATACATGAAAAATACAGGTAAAATAGTAATAATGCTAATACTCTTAAGGCAACACAAAAAACATTCTGCATTTCTTCTTTTTATACATTATTCCTTAATTACTACTTACTGGTATTTTAACAATCACTCATATTCCATTGATTTCATAAATATTTAGAAAGTAGATAGCAGATTAAAATATGGCACATCTTCATATATTTACCAAATGAAAGTATAAGTCTGTTGGATTAGATCCCAGTTTCATATAAAAACCAGCATATTAAAAATGTAAAATGTCTTCCAGGAAAGGAACTTTGTTTAACAGAAATCCCTATAAAAGGCATTCCGAGTGATGTAATTTTAATGCTTTGTCATTCTCTCCAGTATTCCTTTAGTTCCTATGTATATGGTAACCATTGAGTGCCCAGTTTTGTACTTCTCCACTGCTGAACAATGCAAAGAAAAGAGCTCCAAATAAGTTAAGGGCAGAAGCAATATAAAACACGTTCCGCCATTCTTCTATAGTGTTCTGGTAAAAGAGGAATACAAAGGATAAATCAATACAGCAGGATGATGCTCAAGAGTGAGAAAAATGCTTTCCATTATGTTATTCATTCATTATCCTCTTGCAACTCTTTTGTTTTATCCTTTTCATTCTTAATCTCATTAAAAAAATTATTCTTCTTTCTCGATATTAGATGTAATTAACTCAGTTAACAGCTCAGCAATTTTCAACTTTCTTATAAGGGGAAGGAGATTTATAGTTTAATGATTATTACAACTGAATTCACTAATACTTAGTATTTGTGCCAGACTCTTATATCTAAATAAAATTATTCACACTCGTAACTTTCCTCCAAAGAGCTCTATTGTTCTATTTCATCAACCTTGAGAGTTGAATTAAAAAGGAATAAAGTATGTGGTTTAAAATTATCCATTGAACTGCATGGCTGAGTGAAAATTCAGCTTTGATATAGGCATGTGAGGCAATCTGAGATTGTGTCAAAATGACCACAGGTTCATAGTGACATCATGACACAAACTCCCCTCTTGCATACTTGTGGCCTACAGTCTCTTGCTGTTAAGTAAACTGACAGTAATTTATGTGATATCCCACCATTCTATCTCCACTGTAGATACCAATGAAAGTGGGGGCTTTCAGCTGCTACCTTGATATCCAGTGCCATTATTTCAACTGTGAAAGAATTTTAAAAACCCCTATCTTAAAAAAAAAAAAAAAAAAGTCTGCCCACCATCCATGAGAAAAGTGGACTAGTCAGTTTGGCCAGGATTAAAACTATGCAGTTTGAAAAGGAATCCTAGAAATGAGGTTGAGCAAAGCACAGAAAAATAGTAGTAAACATAAATATGAATAACTAGTGAATACAGCCAAGAAGAAACGAGAAAAACCTACAGATGGTAACTAAAGAAAGAAAAGAACTTGGTAAAAGTTAGATTGAGGAAAAACTACACACTCAATTGAACACTTTGGGCTAACCCTTCAGTGCTTTGCTTGCAAATTTCCAGTAATTCATAACTGGAATAACAAAATGCATAAAGAATTGTGTGAATATTGATATAGCTGAGGCATTTTAATTCTCATTGTTAAATAAAATTCAATGCTATTTCACCACTGTACAGCAGAAGTTATAGCCAAGAAATTTGCTTCCACCTACTGCAAGATCTCTGTTAACAAACTAACTATAGCAGTTGCACTATGCGCTATGTATATTAGAACTTTCTAAGCATATGGACAAAGAGAGCTAGCACTAATTAACAATTATTTTAATTCCATGTTAGGTTATGGCTACTGTTTGACTTAGGCACATTCTACTCTGCCTTGCTGAATTGCAACCACAGGCATAATTAAATAGCAAGAAGTCAGAAGGAATGGAGAATGCGAACATTCAATAATTTCTCTTACAAAAAAAATGTAGATATCGCACTCCCTATCTTATTCAGGAACAAGTACCAAGTTTAAGTAACATCACTTTACTGACTTAGATACCACTGCAATGTGTGGAAATGGAAAATAAGAATTCAGTTAAGATTTAAATGAGCTCATATTGAAAAGTACCATTTATTTCTGATTTAAAGCATTATTTTAGAGAACTGGAAAAGTGATACTTGAAAGTAACAGATTTATTTATTTTATTTGCATGACTACTATAAAAAGGACAAAAGAGCTATAATTATAATTTGTATATGTGGTTCTTACCGCATACATAAGCTACAGTCTAAGTTAGAACTTTAACCCTAGTTTCTAAAGATGCTTAATACACACTGAAATATAACTGACGTTCCTCCAGAATTACATTGAGAAAAAGAAATTTCTGAAGCTGTTTAGTCAAAGTTACAAACTTCTAGCTATATGGCCTTTTTAAAAAAATGACAAAACATTATTGTGAATATATAAGAAACATTCTTTAGAGGTCTGGCCTATATACTTAATTAATATTTTGAATTCATGTTTCCTTTCTTGTGCTGTGTTATCTCCTGATTATATCCTAATTTTATTTTACATTTACTTGACTTGGTTGCTGACTTTGGGAGTTATTTTGCACTGCTTTGTGAGAAGAATTATTTTAAAATAAGAGATTTGTATTGGGGAATCTCGGAAAAAAATTCTTTGCTAAAGGATATATTTTTACAGAATTCTATCAATAAATAGAATATTAAGGGAAATACATAATTGTATTTATTTATTAATATGTAATTTAAGAAACACTCATGTGAATATTATTTTCTTGAAAGTATTTAGATAGATTGGTGTGATTTTTCTTAAGTAACAAAGTGTGATTTAATAGTGTCCTTTTCTGGGATGTTTTTCTAACTTCTCAGTCCGGCCTACAATCTTAGGATTTTGTGGTGATTTCTTATCAAGAATAAAGCGGGTCCTTAATGCTCAGCATTCTGAGTTTAGCAGGGGAATGCATTATTATTCAACTAATAATGGTACACAAGCCTGGTTTTTTTTTTAAATTTCTAAAAATAAAATAAGTGTGACTTACACTGTGAGTCAAAGTCTTAGCAACAAGTGGTCCCACCATTCCTGGAATAGTGCCAAATGTATTTGTGATTCCAAGGAGGATGCCAGCATAGCTAAGTTAATAAGGGAAAATGAGGATTAGTCATTGGAACTTTCCAACTCTCAATTTTGCAATTCTTTTCCTGCCCCTTCAGAACCAGATTATATTATATGTGTACTTCCAGAACAGAGGAATTTTCTCAACAGCAGTCCAAGCATTTTGGCATCCAAAGCCCTCCTGACAGACTGAAACGGGAGACTAGAAAGAATTTCACACATGATTCATCCACTTGTCTGCAAAGGATTAGAAACGCTTCTCATGTGTCCAAGCTTCTCAGAAATTAGCAAAGGGATTCTCGCTGCAAATTAAATGGTCTCTCTCCAACTTCATTTCAGCTCAGACTTGACAACTAAGATAAACTATACTTTCCAACAGTATTGTTATTTAATAAAGAGACATATACAGTAGATACCTATGGTATGCACCCAGCAAACATTAACCACAAAGTCTGTCTCAAAACAGCTCAGTGTAGCATTTCCCCCCCACAAAAAAGTAAGATATTCCTTCCATTAAGAAATTTCTTAGTTGTATAATGTCTACAATGGGCTCTTTTCAACAATCATGCCAATTACAAGAGAATCTCAATACACACAAAAAATTGTCCTTCTGGGATGAAACAAAGGGCTGCAAGTTGGTATAAATTACTATGTATTGGTATCTGAATGCAGCTGCTATCTTCTAGATAATCTTGTACAATCCATTTTTATATTCTCTCAGAAAGGGTTTCCCTTTACTCAATATATTTAAGATGTGGGATCTATGAGATAAATAAAATTTTATGACTAGTTATTAGCATTGTAATGGTTGAACATAATGGGGAAAGTAACTAAATTATAATTTAAAATAGCCAATCAATTGCATGTATTAGAAGAAATAGAATTTAGGAAAGGAAAGGCTCCTTCTTAAAGGAGCCATAAGAATCTGTATGGTTTTTGTTGCAATGGATTAACAATAATTTAAACATTAAATTTTGATGTGGTTATTGCTTGAAGTTGTATTTGCAGTGACTGCAGAAGATGTATCAAATGTATTTGCCACCCTCCAGAAAGTAAAAACAAAACAAAACATGTCCAATGTTCTAGGGAATTGAATGATCCCAGGTGTGTGTACTGAGGGAACCAAAACTACAAATGCCCCCCCAACACACAAACACACACATCCCAAATGGATTGGAGGAGCATTTGATGATACAGCAAGATGCTATCATTATGAGAAATGTGACAAGTGGCATGGAGGACTAATAGCTGTACCCATCTGTTCACCAGCTCCAGTTGGCAGTAGTGGTAAGGGAAAGGAGCAATGTCTGGTGGCTATTACAGTGAGAAAATTGGAGGGACCATGTTGAGGAGAGAATACTTTCTGTTCATAACAAAGAAATTCCACCCCGCCCGGGGGCCCAATTTCTCTACATTTTTTTTCATTCACTTTGGCAACAAAAGATTGCTTCCCAAATGGAGCTTTCAATGGTAATTTATAAAACATGGCCACACCGAAACCTGTCTCATACAGGTACATGCCTGGTGGCAGTTTTCTCTGTCCAATACAAGGGAGACAACTGCAAACTATCCAGCAATTATCACTTGAGAACTTATTAAAGTTTCTTCTGATAGAGGAGACAGCAGAAAGGGAGCCCAAGGTTTGCTTTTTAAGTTTGGTTTTGACAAGTGTTTTAGGTTCTCTCCATTCCAGCTGGGAGAAGCCATGATTAACATGGCACAACATGCCTAAAATGGGAACAGCATTTGTAGAGAAACTAGCTTCTGTCACATGCACTGTAATATCTCTCTAATTGTTTCAAAATTATTTTGAAAGATTTCTGATGTTATCTTCTTTGTCACTCTTCCATAGTCTTCTACATTTATCTTTATTCGTAATGAAAAATCAATGAAAATATTAAGGATGAAAATATTTTTTCTTTCATCACTAAGAAATGTCTACCAGGAAGCAATCTATAGTTGCTCTCTGATATTTGTATCAGTTTTGAAGAACATGCCCGATGTTGATGATAATAAAAATTCAACTTGTGAGAATCTCTTAAGGGAATAACATGGTTTGCAACAATCTACAATTTCTAAAAGCATTCTTCATTTAATTCTGTGCCTTATACATAGTTATAATGAGATTATCTGTTTCAGGAAAACTTAACCAGCAGCTAGTAAAAAACTTAATCAAAAGCTATAAAAAGCCTTAAAAAAACTTACGATGGTGCAATATCCAAGTGGTTGATACTGTAACCTGACGTGGAAAACCCTCCAAGTGTTGTTGATATGGTTAAAAATACAACTGCCAGTTTATAATTGCAACCTATAAATCCAGCCGCCATGAGGAATACTGCAGGCCCAACCATTCCTTAATTAAATAATAAAAAAAGAAAGTTTATACAAGCACTTTCTATTTATTCTTTTCTTGATGTTTTAGTGTAGTTTTGATTTTTGTTTATTTTATAAAAGTAGCTATAGCTTTCAGCTCTTGACCTGCAACAGAGGATAACTGAAAGCGTAATTTCACCCTTCATCCCTAAATAAAGAGATAACATTGTCTAAAATAGTCAATAACTCCTCAGTACCATAGTATATTGTCAGGGAACAAGAATGATAATACATATTGGAATGTATTAAACTGGAATTGGAATTCGTAAACTGAAACAGGTATATTCTCCTTTGATCCATCCAAGCTCAAAGAATCCACTACCAGTATTATCAGCACAAGAAAGTCAGTATGTTGGAGACATAGGGGATTAGTATCATGTAGACATTTGAATGCAATCAAAAACAGCAGGATTTTAGAAGAAAGCAGGTAGAACAGTGGGCAGACAAGATGAAGGTATTTGTAATTATGATAGCAGAACATATGCACTGCATAGAAAGGTTGAATTCCTTATTTTTTTTTCATAAATTCCCAGTAGCTGGAATAGATATATATTCTCCTGAAATCCTGCCATATCACTGTCAGTCTAATTCAACAGGCATTGATCTGGATATAAGACAGCTTACAAAGGTAAGCTACTTTGATTTATGACTGGTCACTTAACAACTATTCAAAGTTTTGACAGACCTCCCCAGAACTGCTTATGACCTGGATTCAAAGTTCTAATGCAGGGGTAGTCAACCTTGGCTCTTTTATGACTCGTGGACTTCAACTCCCAGAATTCCTGAGCCAGCTAAGCTAAGCTAAGCTGGCTCAGGAATTCTGGGAGTTGAAGTCCACGAGTCATAAAAGAGCCAAGGTTGACTACCCCTGTTCTAATGGCTGGGCCCACCTCTACATTATCACATGATCATATTTTGGGTGCTTGGCAACTAGCTCATGTTTATGGCCGTTTTCAATGTTCCAATATTCCACGGTCTCAATTTAATTTTTTTTTGTCAGAAACTAGAGTTTATTTCCAGCTTCTGGAAAAATCTACCCATTGTGGGCAATGGATTTGCTTTACGACTACAGTGTTATGATAGTTGCAAAAGCCATAAAATTAAGTGCAGTCATGTAGTGGTACAATGTACAAAACACAATTTCAGGCTCAATTATGGTTGTACATCGAAGAGGCTACCTGTATAAGAATGCATCCCCAATACAGTGGCATTTCCTCGACAGTTCAGTATATTAAATGGCAGAAATGTAACATTGTTACTAAAAGATTTAAATTACTTCAAAATGATGGTGTTTGCTGGAGTAACATGAAACTGTTCTTAATGGCTTGCTTTCTACTAGCCATGTTATAAAAAGTGCATCAAAATTCCTGCTAGACTTTCTTGGAGGTTCAATTGTCCTTGTTGCTAAATATTTGTCTATACAACTTTACAGAAGTCATCAACTTTTTTTTTAATGCAAGCTAAGATTATATTAATTTGTGTGCTCTATGTGACACTTTGAGATTGGATGCTTATTACTATTTTGCTATGATAAAAAATTAAATTAGAAAATGTCAAGTGATTATCCTGCTTTCTATTGCCATCTAGTGTACAAAGCAAAGTATAAAATTCAGGTTTCATGTTTTATCGCAACATCCTAGCTGTTGCTGCAGCTTTGTTAAAAACAATATACTGAATCTATTTTAAAAATCAATTGGATCAGTAAAAAAAACCAGAATACTTATTTTAAGACAAGGCAGCAAAGGCTAATGTGGGAAACAATGGAAGAATTGTGAATAAAAAGATGATACCAATTCCCTTATCTAATAATCTCAACAATTAATTTATGCATTGTCATTTCAGTTTGTTTCGAGGTATTAAGTTATCAAGGACAAAAGATTCAGAGGGAAGCAAGAGCATGGTAGCTTTACTTAAACAAGCAAGCATAAATAGCAGAAGCACACTGGTATTTCTAAGTCTTGTCTGAACATCAGGAAAGCTCATTTCTAGTTAATACTACAGAATCTACTATGTATTATGACATTTATCAGGTGGGCTAAAGTCTGAATCGGCATAAGGTAGCTTTCTATCATTTTGAGAAAGTTGTAATGCCAGCATGTTTTGCACATGCTTTCCCCCTTCAAAAAAATGTTCCCAAAAATGTCAGGGTGATCTTTGTCATTGTTAGATTCTGGGAAGCACCAGCCTGGCAGGAAGGGGGGCTCACACAGGGAGTTAGCCTAGAGTCACTGTGCAAATGCAAAAGGGCTAGGACACTACTCCTCCCCCAGGTTTCCTGGAGCCTTATCTAATTGTTCCCAAGAGTAGGCTGCCAGACTGGGGAGATTCCTGTATTATAGGCAGAACAGAATAAAGTAAGTTAGCTTGCATTCTGCACGCGTGGGTCTGGTTGTTCACACCTGAAATTAATATATGTAATTACTGTAGGACAATCTTATTTTAAGAATTATGTTTATACAGATTCATACAGTCCTCGTAGGTTGTGACCTTCAACACATATGCAAGATATATTGGGCCAATCCAGGAAGGAGCAGGTCCTTCTGACCAAAAACTGTACTTTAATTAGAAAGTCTCATCCTGTGTAAGAAATGCCATGGATTTTGTCTGGAAATGAATATATATATTTAAAATTATTACATTCAAAAAATGAAAGGGTTGTGTTGTATTAATGCTTATTTAAAATATCAAACCAATTCACTTTCATTCTACAGTATTCTCAGTGAGCTATAGGCTACATTAAAAACAAATGCTTTTCTTACCTATTACTGTAAATGTTTTGCGAACACAGACTGTTGATTTATTTTTCTTTTCCCGTAAGTAGTCCGCAAATTGACCACACACAATTATACAAATCCAGCAGCCAAAATAAGGAAGTGCGGATAAGAATCCATTCTGTAGAGAGGGAAAATGATACTGTTATTTAAAATAATGTGAACAATTTGTCAGATCCTAGATATGATTTATGATATAAGCATGAGTGATGTATCATATTTTTAGATATGATCATAGATGTATGTNGGTGTTACCGGCGGACAAAGGGAGAGCCACTGTGGTCATGGATAGGACGCAGTACGTAGATAAGGTGTTGGGATTACTCAGTGACGCTACGGCCTATAAGGCCGTCAGTGGGGACCCCATGGTGGCCCTCAAGAATCGGACCAACAAGGTACTCAATGCTCTCAAGTGTAATAAGAGACTCAATGAGGATACCCTCAGGCGGCTACGCCCCAGAGATACGGCATTGGCTAGGTTCTATGGACTGCCCAAGGTCCACAAGGAGGGTGTTCCTCTTCGCCCCATTGTGTCATTTAGGGACGCCCCAACCTCAGGCTTAGCCAAATGGCTAAGTAACCGCATTAGTTATTTGGTTTGTGATAGTACTACCACGGTTAGATCCGCGGAGGAGTTTCTCGATAGAATTAAAACCCTGAGAGTAGAGGTGATGGTTTCTTTTGATGTTACCTCCCTCTTCACCTCTATTCCTCAGGATTTGGCTACCAGGGTAATTAAAGATCTTCTGTGTAAGGAACCTGGACAGCAGCGAGACTCCCTCCGCCTGGGAGACCTTGTGGACCTTTTGGAGATCTGTCTTAAGACCCATTTCACATTTCAGGGCATCACCTATGAACAGATTAGGGGCACCCCCATGGGGGTCACCCATTTCCAGCATCATAGCAGAAGCTGTATTGCAGCGGTTAGAGCGGGTAGCGATGGCCCAATATTGCCCCAAATTTTGGGCCCGCTATGTTGACGATACTTTCGTAGTCATCAAGAGTCGAAAAGCTGACTTTGTGGGTGTGCTCAATTCAGTGTATGCGGACATATAATTTACCGAAGAAAAGGGACCACAGGGTAAACTGGCGTTTTTAGATGTTTTAGTCCATCGCCAGTTGGATGGAACCCTACAGACTAAAGTGTACCGCAAGCCAACTCACACTGATAGGGTGTTGCACTTCAACAGCAATCACCCTATGACCCACAAGGTCAGCTGTATTAGAACCCTCTTTAAGAGGATAGACTCTCACTGCAATACAGCTATAGCTAAGGTGGAGGAAAGGAGACACCTCTTCCACATATGCAAACGTAATGGGTACCCAACGAAGTTTATCAGGCGGCATAGCGTCCTATCCAGGCCTCCAAGTGGCCAACGGCTAGAAGAACCACTGCCACAGATGACCCGAGTCACTCTCCCCTACATCAGCAACGTTTCGGAAGCAACAGCTAGGTTACTGGCACCCTACAATGTTAGGGTGGCACACAAACCTAACCGAACGTTGCGGTCCAGCATCATGAGACCCAAGGACCCGCTCCCCACGATAGAAAAGTCGGGAGTTGTATACAAGATCAGCTGCAACGAGTGTCCCGTTAATTACATGGGTGAGACCTCGAAGAGGGTTAGGACAAGGGTTCATGAGCATAGGCTTGCTATAAGAAGGGGAGAAGGGCATTCCCAGTTGTGGTCACACATGATGGAGACTGGCCACAAATTCGATCTTGATGGTGTGCAGGTGATTGCCAGCGACAATACCAAAGGCGGCAGGTTGCTCAAAGAAGCTTGGCTGTCAGGTGAGGGCTCTATTAACAGGCATATAGACCTATGCCAGGCCCATTTGACGTTAAGGGCATGGAATACCCGCGTCCACCGACCACGGAAGAGATGGGAGGGGGAGAACCCCCGACCCCAATGCCTTTCGGATGCCGGGGAAGTGGGTATCCACCAACCTGAGAGCCTACCCATGATAGAGCGCCTACCCATGATAGAGCGACGAATGGAGAGACCCGTTGATGCCGACGTCCCAACCCCCGGCAGACCGAGCATCCCAGCTGGGAATGGGGAGGACAAAGAACCATCGCAAGTACACATTGACATATGGCACAGCTGCTACCAGGGGGATTGTTTCCTCCCCTCCACCTCCACCTCTACCGGCACCCCTGCAGACATACCCACCGCTGCCCGTATGGAGACTTTGACACGAGGGAAAAGGGGCCGGCATTGTCCTGCCCCGGGAACAACTACGCACCCTCGGACAACAATCCAATGGACTAACGTGGCAATGTCACCGGGTGAGCCGGAACCGCCAACGCACCCCCCAAAATTTGCTTCGGGAGCGGTTACACGCTCCCGGATGGCAGTCCAACGGATGGAAACAACAGCGTCGATAGGCGACCCAGGACTGCCAGCACATCCCCCGAAATCCCCGAAACCCCTGATGCACCAGGAGGCACGAGGGAGAAGTGAGCAGCTCCGTCCCATCTCAGGGGCAATCACACGCTCCCGGGCAACCGCTCTGCGAATGAGCACAGTGTCTCCTGTAAGAAGGGGAGGGGAGGGAGAGCAGTTCCGCCCCGTCCCAGGGGCAATCACATGCTCCCGTGCAGCCGCTTTGCGGATGAACACAACGCTCCTTGGAAAAGGGGGAGACGGGAGAGACGGGAGAGATCGTTCGGATGGGGGGAGAGGGATCGATCAGATAGAACAGTGGGACAAGTGGATAGGGCAATGGATAGAGCAGGAGCAAGCACATGCTCCTGGGCAACCAGCAGTGACAACAAGGAGGAGGCGGTGACATTGACGATTAAAGGTCATGGCTATGGGGTCGCCAGACGCAGAAAGGGAGAGGGGGGAGCATCGGATGGCACGAGCCAAGACAGGATATCCCACGGGGCACCCGGAGACAGAAAGGGTGGTGGTGAAAACGAGTGAAAATGGGGTGGAGGTGATGGGAAATTCACCTCAATGGGACACCCCAGTGCGAGAAAAAAAGGGAGTCGAATATTCTGGAGACATAGAACATAGACCCACTCTTAGCAAGGTAGAGTATGAAGCTAACATAGGAACACGAAAAAAAGGGGGGGGGGAGGAAAGTGAGCAGTAAGGTGTATGACGATAGGAGTAGCGAGGATAAACTGGCTAATGATATGGAGACTGCGACCGGAACTTCGATTGGCCGACTGAGCCCCATGACGGCATCCATGGGTTGGGCGCTGAAACAGCTTGGTCATGTATAAATAAGCGCTCCCATTGACCTAGACTGATCCCTGATGATGCTGGCAGTGGCCAGCGAAAGCTAGGATTTTAACTTATTAAAACTTTTATAGTTTTTTAAACTTTTCCTGGTGTTCACGTTTTTTATCTCTCGTCATGAGTATACCCAGGAATCATTCTTTTATTTTTAGTACTGTTTTTAAGATATATATATATATTCTGAGTAAAGTTATAATGCCAGCATGTTTTGCACTTGCTTTCCCCTTCAAATGAGATGATTGCATATTTAAAGATAAGCATGAACAGAAACAATATTAGTAAATAATGCAGGGTAGGTGACAAGTAATTAACACACAACATTTTGTGACTCTTTTTTGATACTAATCCATCTTCAGGTTACCTCATTCCTTCCAGGCACCAAACAGATGTTTGAAAAAATGAGAAAAATACTATATATATGTATCTGGCTTCCTTCACTATAAAAGGATAGTTTTTGTATGTACATTATATGGATATGGAGCTTCCAGACAATTGTTGAAATTGCCTGAACCCTTGAGAATAAAGACATTATTTAAAAGTTACATAACCCTTTTTAATGGTAAATAACGGAAATACAAGTATAGTAATGAATTTTAAGTATGTGGCCAAAAATAGCACCCGTTTCATCGGAGACACATTACAAATGTTAAGACAAAGCTTTTTTCATGACTCTGGATTAGAATGGATATTACCATTTCCTCATTTGGTTTATTGTACTGGGGGAGAGGCAAATATTAGTTCAACAGCTCTTTTAGATTTAAGGTACTGCAGCAAAAAAATAAATAAAAATCAAATCCCCCCCACCATGCAGACTATATAAAAAGAAAAAAAAAAGATCCCAAGCTCTGATTATATGATAACTGGACAAAGCATTTAAACTGCTCAGTCCTGTACTAAGATTCTTTCCTTGTACTTATTAAGTACACAATCTTCTGAAGAAATACAAATATGCATCAGGCAGTCCACGGGAAGCCAACATTTTTCTCAATTTTTGTTCCTTTTGGAATAGTCCACCCAGAAGACATGATTATTTGTGAAAAGACCCACTAACAGAGTCCATAATGTCCACTTATTAATTTTGTATGTAAAATCTGGAAGCCTTTACTCAAAAATCAACAACTGCCCCACTGTTTCCATAACATAAAAGCACAGAAAAAGTTAATTAAAAAAAGATATTTTTAAAATTGCACTGTAGTTATACTAAAATGATTTGCCCCAAATCTCTGATTTGATAACTAGAATGAATTCTCCAGGAGTACACACACAGTAATTTAAGTATAGCCATATCCTAGGAAGATTATGTAATACTTTGGTTCTTACAAAAACCTGAACCTCTGTTGAACAGACACATAGACAGAAATGCAAGAATGGGCCTAAGTTTGGGAATCCAATTCTCATCCAGTCTA